CCTTAATTTCTCTCTCTGCATTCTATCTGGATTCAGTGACCATAGTTCTGCCCTCTGAGTCCTAGTAGAAGAAATATAACCCTTCTTCCACCTGACTGCCCTTCAAATACTTGAAAACAACTGCCATTCCCATTGGATCCTTCACTATTCCAGGCTTAAACATTCCTAGCTCACTCAACCTATCTTCATACAGCATGATTTTGAGGGACTTCATCTGGTTTGCTCTCTGCTAGAAGCACTCAAGAATTAACAAGGTCCATCCTAAAATGGAGAGCCTAAAACTAAACATAACGAAAATGTTTTCTTGGTTAACTATCACATTACTGTAAAAATACATATGTGTACAAAATTTCTCTGTGTACAAAGCTGAAAAGATTAAGAAGATTTCATGAGCCTCTAAAGTACATCAAGAGATGGAAATGGGGATGAGGAACAACCTGGGGCTGGAGATCTCAAGTGAGTACAAAAGAATAGGTATACTAGAAGAAAATGCAGTGAGAGGTAAGGGCCTGATGAGTAGTAAAATAAGATAAGAAAGTTTTTACTTTGTCTAGGGGCTCAAGTTTTCTTCAAGGATCAATTGTTTGTTAGAGTAGGTGCCTTGATTCCACTGTACTATACCTACTCGAGAAAGTCTTCTCTTGCAGATAGTGTTTCAGCTCTATGGTATTGTCTATATCTCTTAGGCTTCCATGAAAGCCATAATACTTGTGCTAGAAAGGGAAGCAAAATGAAATTAAGTACACTGAGTACCTCTTCACCACCATCTCCTCATTATACTTATAACAGAAGTATCTATTGAACCATGGGACGTCCATTTTCTTCAATGATCTTCCACCTATAAACTTTAAGTTGGTCTCATTTCAGCAAGAAATTGAAGGTGACTATGTGATTGAAGAGAAGAGGTATAGTGTTCTTCTCTTACCCTCCACATCCAATCAGATGCCAAGTTTTTCAAGTCTACTTCCACATCTTTCACATCTGTCTACTTCTTTACATTTAGAGGGCCAGCACCCAAATTCTGGCACTCATTACCGAAATCACCTAGCCTTTTGAAACAGTAGCCTAATTGGGTCTCCCTATCTCTGATTTCTCCCTTCTCTAATCCATATCCTTCACCCGACTTCCAAAATGATATTCCTAAAGCACAAATGAAACCCTGTCACTCCCCTGATCAAGGGGCTTTGGTGGCTTTCAGTAGCCTCCGGACAATATAAACTCCTCACCTGGAAAGTTAAAGTCCTTCACACCTGGGTTTCACCTGTCTTCTAGACAGATCCCATAATATTCCACATCTCACGCATTCTATGTTCCAAAATGTTCTACTTGCAGTTTCTCTTATATAACATTCTATCTCCTGCCCCTATCCCTCTGCCAAACTTGTCCCTTCCATACCTGAGACCCTCTCCCTCCTCATTTCTACCTTGTGGAATCCCTGGGTCTTTTCAAAACTCAGATCAAGTGGCAGCTCCTACAAGAGGCTTTTGCTGAATCCTCAAGCCCATCTTAGCATCCCCACTTCCAAGTTCCTTTCTATTTATTTATTCATATATATATTTATATTTATATACATCATAATTATTTGTTATTTTCACCTAGAGAAAGTAAGCTCCTTGAGGGCAAAAATAGTCTTGCTATTGTCTTTTGCCCAGAACCTGGAACAGTACCTAATAAGTGCTTGTTGAATTGAACTGAATGAGCTGAAGTTGCTGAGGGAGGTTTAAAAATAATTAAAAGGGTTTTGTTTTAGTTAAACTGAGGAAGAGAAAAATATCACAACAGGAAAAGGAACTGTTGATCAAGGTAGATGGAAATAATAGATAAGGAAGAAACAGCAATTACTCAACTTTTATTGAGCTTTTGTCTTCTCTGGCCATGGAAGATGAGCTTTAGACTGAAAAGAACAGAGCAAAAGTGGCTAACGGGAAGCTGATATCCAAGAGAAGTGGGGAGACAAGCCATTATCTGGCTGCTGTCGATGAATTCAAGTAACCAATGAACTATATTTTAGATTACTGCAAGAACAAGCAGAAGAGACTGCTCAATGATCTCTGGAAGATCTCAATGATCTCTGGAAGAGTGTGGAGAATAGGAGGGGTGTCACAAGGATGGAGAAGGACAGGCATTTTGTTTTCTTGAACAATGAGATAAGAATAGAATCTACAAACTATAGGTCTATGAGCTTGACTTTGGGTTCATATGAAATTTTAGAACAAATTATTAAAGAACTCTCTTTAAATATTTAGTAAAGGAAGTAATAAACACAAGGAGCCCATCATGATGGTTTCACCAAGAACAAGTTATGCCAAACAGGTTACCAGATCAAGAGAATGTTGAAGCTTTAATTTAACACAGATTTCAGCAAAGCTTTAGACAAAGCTTCTCATACTATTCTTCTGTTGACAAAATGAAGATATAATAGCTAGATACAAGTACGTACAGCTAGATGGATTCAGAAATAGCTAACTGGACTCAAGGAGCAATTTGGAAATAGATCTCCAGAAGAATGCCTCAAGTATTTGGCCTTGGACAATTAAATCTTCTTATCAGTGATATAAAGGCAGAGATAAAATGCTTATCTAGTTTGTAAACTGCACAGAACTGGGAAAGATAACTAATAAAATTAATTATTGTCAGAATCCAAAAAGACCTCGAGAAGTGAGAACACCAGAACATAGGGATAAATGTAACATCTTAAGAACTGCATTAAAAAAACATCAACTTCACAAGTTCAAGATGAGGAAGATGTAGCTAAACAGCAATTCAGAAAAAGATTTGGAGGTTTTAGTGAACAGAAAACTAAAGGAGTCAACAGTGCTGATGGAAGGTCATGATCAGTTTAAAGGGCATTAGGGCAACCAGGAAGGGCCTCAAGATCATACCATAAAAGCATATGGAAGGAAATGGGAATATACAGCCTGGAGGAGAGAAGACTTAGAAAGACATCTTGGCTGTATTTAAGCCAAGGGGAAAAATGATTAGACTTGTTCTACACAGACCTAGAGGGCAGGACTAGGAACAACGCATGAAAGTTCCAGAAGCCAACTGTAACTCAAAACAGGGATATATTTCCTAATAATTAGAATCATCCAAAAGCAGAAAAACCTGCATTAGGAAATACTGGGTTCCCAAGTGAAGTCTGGATAACTACCCACTAGCCAGATATAGAAGGGATTTGTGGTCAGGTATTGTGGAGACAACTAGATGGCCTACAAGGTAACTTCTGAAACTCTGTGATTGTGTGATTTGTCTTACATTTCATTAAAGCAGTGAGGAGAAAACTAAGAGTCAAAACAAGTACAAAAGAACTTTAACTTCCCAATCCTTTTAACAGACACTAAACTCAGCCTTTAAACAACTTGGGCCTATTCATTCTGGGGTAAAATTTGCAATCATAAGTCATAAGAACTTATTTACCTGAAAGCCTGACAACACAGAAATGGCTCTTCCACTCCCAACTATTTTTGGTAGCCAAAGAGTCCCAAACTTAAAAGTTTTTGACAGAAAAGCTATGAACAACAAATATAACAGCTGCAACAACTAGCTTAAAGTTGTAATACTTATAAAGCACTTTGGAAAATGAAAACTTTTAGCACCATGAACACAGTCGTTCAACCTTAAGACTGCGTCTTATGACTTAATAGAATACAAATTATGACTTATTAGAATACAAAAATTGCCAGTGTGTTTCTTCCTTAATTCAACAGATTAACCTCTCCTCATGAAGGAAATGATAAAAAACTGATTGCTCAAAATTAACTTGCAATTATTCTGAATATTTAAATATTTGCTGCTATTAATAAGAGATTGATTTTTTAAAAAGGGTAAGAAGGAAGTGGATTAATTAGAATTTAGTGTCATTTATCATTTTTACAATGCACTTAATGGATATTTGTCAAACACTATTCCATTCTAGGTACTATAGTCATGAGACTTCGGTCTTCAAACATTTATCTTAATACAGTTTTCAGTGACCACCACTTCTGAAAAAACTTACCCCAAAACTTGGAAGCATCTTTGGCCACTCCAACAGTCTAGTCCCCTAAGGCGAACCCCTGTCTAGCCTTTCTCCATTTCAATCCATTCTTCAGCTGCTACCCCAGCTTCAGTCCTATGTCTGAAGATTCCTCCTATTATTCCTCTTTCTCCTTTATCTAGCACTTAACAGTCCAGATAAAGCACACCATTTGGCATCTGATACATACTTGCAGTATTGTTTATTACTGTTTCTTGTGGACTGTTCTTGTTTCTCCAACAATTCTGAGTTCTTTGAAGGCAGGACCAATGAATTACAGCTACTAGGAACCTTAGCAGTCATCCAGTCCAATTCCTTCATTTTACATACCAGGAAACTGACGTCCAAGTGACTTGCCTAAGTTCACACAGATAGTAAATGGCAAAATCTGAATTTTAACCTAAGTTTTCTGAGTAAATCCATTACTATTTCCAATACATCAGGCTGCCTCTTCACATTCCCTACCCGTACTGTGAAGAATAAATAGTATTCTCTATAGTGTAGTAGTACTCTCTACAATACCTGTTCTATCTAGCAGTGGTTACTTATTGATTGCCGGTAAAAGAAAATATTAACTCCATTCCACTTTTTGACTGCCAGAGACATATTTTCTACCCACTTCTCTCTAGGTTAAAAAAAAAAATACTTGTTTTTAAAACAGGATAGATTAAAATTGTGGTTTTCAGGGAACATACCAAATTCGATATGAAATGATTACTTATCTTTTTTAATAGATCAACAACATATATTTATATAATGTGCCACAAAGTCCCTAATTTTTGTCTTAAAACCCTATATGCATTTCACCAGAAAGAAAGGTGGGAAAGGGGAATCTTTTTGTAAAGCTTGTGTGGCAGTTTAAAACAATCACTACCACAAAAAAAAAAGAAAGAAAGAAAGAAGAGAAAAAAGAAAAAAAAACATCTCTCACAATATCTTCTAGGGAAACAATGATGAGTTTTCAGGCTTTGACTGATCAACTCACCTATTCCAAGGGCAAACACAAAGGCCACAACACTTGTTAAGTTCTGTTAGGGTCTTCTCTGCCTCTCTCATGTCTTTGTTTATTTGGTCCATGCCTTCTTCTATGCGGTTCAGTTTTTCTAAGAAGAGTTTTTTGAAAGTTATATTTTGTGGGAAGTTACTAGCCATAACAAATATTCTAGGAAGCTCCCCAAACAGAAAATACTGTTATATAAGGCAGCATAATAGGATACAGTCCCAAATTTAATAATGCACTGACACAATCTAGTAAATGTCTGTAATGGCAGTGAAAGAGTAAACAGACAGTAAATACTACCTGACATGAAGGCAGTCTGGGATGTCCCAAATTTAAAGCACCTAGCCCCCAATTAGAATTTGCATTGACCCCAGGAAAAACTTAGGGATACAATCCTGTTTTGGAATCATATGGGCTGAGATCTGCTTTGGAATCAGATACCCAATATTATTCCTAGCTCAGTAGGTTCAAATCCCAGAATAAACAAGATCCCTTGAGAACCAGGCCCATCTGACACTGAGCTCCAAGGAATATTCCAATTTGGATGTCCCCCAAACTTGTTTAGTTCACTAACCATATTTAAGTCCAGTGCCCTGATTTTCTGGGCATAATAATAACTCCAATGGAAAAAGTCAAACATTGTATAATCCAAAATGTGAAAGGGGTCTCAGGTGGAGGAAATGTACCACCCACATGGGAAAGAGCACTCTTAAAGGATACATTTTGGAAACACCCATGAATACAGCAAGTGTGCAAAGTAAAATTCAGAACTTCTTCCAATGACTCCAAACTCACCCCCTTGTTCATCCAGCATAGTGATGGTTTTGATTCCTGCATCCTGAGACTAAAAGAAGTGGGAAAAAAAAAAAGTCTACAGTATAGCTAAAACAAAAGGACTAACATCTACAAATGTAAAAAATACAGAGAAAATATCAAGATCGGAGAAAGTAAGATTCTAGGTAGATTAAGCCAGGACTAGATGTATATTTTACAAAAGTCACCACCTGAAGTGAAAAGTGAGTCACAGACTTTTATTAAATTAATTGTCCCTGACATGCTATAGTAATGGAAGAGGAAAAATCAAGTGTTGACATTACATAGCTTGATGACATCAATACTTTGTTTTCAAACAAAAAAGTATTGTCTTCCTGTCTCTAAACTCATTCAGAATACTAATTTAACACAATCCCTCCTTGCTCGATTCCCATACTTGACTAGACAGAACTGACTTCATGTTAAACATAATGTTATCTGAGCAATAAATGTTACTGGGCATTACTGATCCAAATGCTAAACAGGTCACAAGCTTTGTAACATAGAGCTCTGCAGGCAGAACAGTGGCATCATGTTGTACCCTCCAGGATACCCAAGAGTAAGACATTTCTAGTAATATTCTCTTACCTCAATGGCTAAACCCAGGATTCTCCTTGTGCTTTCCAGGGACTAGAAAAACAAAAACAAAAACAAAAAAAGAGCTTTAATATTTTAGGGTACAACAGAAAAATAAGCAGAATTTTTAAATAAAAATCTATGTTTACCATGTTCAGGATGTTATTCTCTACTATATGTAAAATCATTGCCAACTATCTCTTAAATAATGTAAAAACAACCAAATTGGTCATTAAAGCTGCAAGCTGATTTTCACCAGATACTGGGTCAGTCACTGAATCACAGAATTTGAGAGTCAAAAGGAACTTCTACCGCGTCTAATTCAATTCATACCCCATAGGATTACCCACTATAACATATCCTAGTGGTCATCCAGCCTCTGGGTGAAGACCTCACTACCTCTCAAGGCAATCCAGTTCATCTCTGGACAGTACTAATTATTAGGAAATTTTTCCTGACATCAAGGCTAACTGGCTTCTTTGCAAGTTCCCCTCACCGCTCTTGATTCTGCCCTCTGGAACCAAAAAGAACAAGACTGATTTTGCTACATGACAGTCTTTCAAATACTTGAACATAGCTATCACATCCCAGAGTCTTCTTTTCTCCATGCTTAACCTTCCCATTTCCTTCAACTAATCCTCAGGCATCACAAACTCAAGGTCCTTCACCATTCTGGTGGCCCTCTTCTGCTTAATGCCCAAAATGACCACCATACTCCAGATGAGGATTGACAAATGGACTATCACCTTCCTGTTCTCTGAGGCAATACCCCTCCTACAGCTACCCAGGACTAAATTAGCTTTTTAGCTCCCATACCACCTTGTTGAGCTTGCAGCCCACTAAAACCTCAACATCTTTTTCAGAACTGCTATCTATCCTTACCTTCACCATCTTATCCTTCTGTTTTGACTGAAACTTTACATTTGTTCCTATTAGACTCAGCCCAGTACTAGTCTGTCACAAAATTTTTGGATTCTGTCATGAAGCATATTAGCTATCCTTCCCAGCTCTGTGTCATTTATAATTTTGATGAGCATACCACCTCAGTCTTTATCAAGTCATTGACAAGAACACCAAATAGCACAAGGCCAACCACAGAGCCCTGGGCTACACCATCATCAATATATTTTCAAATGTATTTTCAAAATCCTCAAACAATAAATCAACAAGAATTTATTAAGCACCTACTATGTACTAGGACCATACCAGGTGCTAGGAATATAAAGATTATAAAGGAACAGTCCTCCTCTCCATATAGATAGCCATCAATCTAGTTCAGGTCCTTATTATACCTTTCACCTGAACTATTACAATGGCCTCCTAATTGGACTTCCAGCCTCAATTATCTCCAATCCATCTACATAGCTGCCAAAGTGATCTTCTTATAGCACAGGTCTGTCCATGGTCAGTTCCCTACTCAAATTTTTGGTGGCTCTCTATTATCTCTAGAGTCCTCTGTTTAGACTAGATTGTGTTAGAATTTACTTTTAACTTTTTTAGTGCTGTTTTTGTTTTTTGAGGGAACGAGCTGACAACACAATAATAACATATCATTAGTCAATACCAAATGCATTTGTTGGTCTAATCAATCAGCAAACACTATGATGGGACCAGGCTGGCCAAAATGGCTAAGTTGATCTTTCCTCACCTCAGCTCTGAAAAAGGAATATAACACTCAGATATAAGAGATGTGAAATGAATTAAGATTTTCAGTATAATGTTTTACCTCATCAGTCACCTGCTGAGCCCTTAGCTGAATTTCTTCTGTTGACAGATCATCCATGATGGATCACAATTCTTGGTAAGCAAGAAACAGAAACTGTGATACTCTGTTTAAAAAAAAAAGTAGGTTTCAAGGTGTTAAAGTGTATTATTCTCACCTTGGAAGGTCACTAAGATTTATACGAACTGATGCAAACTGAAGTGAGCAGAACCAGAAGAACACTGCACACAGTAATACTGTACGATGATCAACTGTGAAGGATTTCGCTATTCTCAGCAATATAATAATCTAAGATAATTCTTAAGGACTCATGATGAAAAATGCTCTCCACCTCCAAAGAAAGAACTGAAGGAGTTTGAATGCAGATTGAATCACACTTTTTTTTTTTACTTTATTTTTCTTGGGACTTTTTTTTCTGTGTTTTCTTTCACAACATGTCTAATATGGAAATATGTTTTGTATAACTGCACATGTACAACCTAGATAAAATTGCTTGCCTTCTCAGGGAGGGGAGAGGGAGAGAATTTGGAGCTCAAAATTTTAAAAAATGAATGTTAAAAAATTGTTTTTACAAGTAATTAGGAAAAAAAATCTCTGCCATTAACTTGACTTTTCAAAATACATTCTTATGTTTGTAATGAAGTCTTCAGGTGAAAAAAAGCCCAAAGAAAGTTTTATAAATTGAGGAGCAAGGTAAGACAGGATTTTAGTAGCCTTTCAAGTATGACCACTTCTACAATTCAAATTCCAAATTCAAACATTATTGTGCTGAATCTGCAGCCTGATCTGAGGCGCTAACCTCAAAGAAGGAAAGGTCTGTTTAAGTCCTACCTCTGTTACATACTAATTACTCTGCCCTGGCCAAATCACTTAGAAAACTGCACAGCTATTTTGCATGACTGCGCATGTATAATCTATATCAAATTGCTTGCCTTCTTAAGGAGGAGGGAGGGAGGGAGGGAAAGAATAGGGAACTTAAAAGTTTTTTTTTTTAAAGAATGTTAAAAATTTTGGTTTATGTGTAATTGAGAAAAAAATAAAATTAAATAGGAAGAAAACTGCATGAAGAGGTTAATACTATAAATTACAGCTCACAGGATCATAAATTTAGACTTGGCAAGTACCTAAAATGGGAACTGGATTTCAATACTGGTAGATTTCCCTACAAAACAAGCTCACACATCAACAAACACATTTTTTAAAAGTGCAGAACACTGTATTAAGTGCAAGGGAGAAAGAGAGACATAAAGTGAAGGTAAGAAATGTTCCCTACCCTTACGGAATTGACAATATAGTAGAAGGATAAGACACAAACAAGTGCCAGCCTAGGGAGTTGGACCCAATGATCTCCAGGGTCCCTTCTAAGCTCTAAATCTATGATCATATGGTCTGATGAATACTGCATGTTACAGTAAGTGTGTTGGAATGCAGCCACACACATACAAACACAAGTCCTGGGGAAAGGATCAGGAAAGACTTCATGGAAGAGGAGGTAACACATGAGTGGGGTTTCAAAGGATAAGGGCAGGCATTAGATATAGAAAAGAGCAAAAGAAAAGGAGGAGATTGAAGGGTGTATATAGGAAACAGGAAGTAGTGCATTTTGACCACAGCATGCAGTACACAGAAGAGAGAAATTTGACAGGAGGCTAGACGTGCTACGGGTGGTGCTGGATTCTGTGGGCCTGTTAATCCTGGGGAAAGGAGCTGATCTGGACTCTGACACCTTTAAACACAAAGAACAACAAACAACAACCACGGATATATTTCATATGGCTACTGTCAAGGCTAATCATTTAAAAAAGGAAAATCCACTACACCACGGACAATATTCTGGTTACTAGTTTCTATGAACTCAGCTAGGCTGGTACTTGGAGAATAAACTTACAGCAATCACCAGACCAGAGGCGAGGAACCTGCAGCCTCAAGGCCACATGTGGCCTTCTAGGTCCTTGGGTGTGGTCTTTTGACTGAGTCCAAGTTTTACAGAAAAAAATCCTTTTATTAAGGGAATTTGTTCTGTGAAGTTTGGATTCAGGCAAAGGCCCACACCTGAGGATCTAAAGGGCCACACCTGAGGACCTAAAGGGCCACATGTGGCTTCAAGGCTGCAGGTTCCCCATCCCTGCACCGGACCATACTTGAAGAGTTTCTAGCTCTTTAAAAACTTGCCAGAAAAAAAAAAACTTGCCAGAACTGGCTATCCACACTGGCAAAGGTTTTCCCCCTATCTACAAATGCTTATTAAATTTTTTCCAAGAGCAAATAAAGCCCATTTTCATTAGTCCCAGATAAGATATAGTTTAGCTGAAGAGATTAAGGTATATTGAAAACTAGGGCTGGGGAGGGTGATCACTCCATCCCTCAACTTGAATAGCAAGAACAGCAACTGAATGTCACGGTTTCTCACTACTGCAGGTGTAATGCTTCTCTTTTACTTCCAATGAGAGAAAGGGAGAGTTGGTTTAAAAAAAAAATGCTAGCTAGCTATAAAACATCTTTTTGTCCCAGTCCATTTTTTTTTAAACTGATGCCTTTTTATATAGCTATTTCCCAACAGGCCCCTCCTCAAACCATTTAGAATCTTCTCTTGTAACAAAGTACAGATTTTTTTTTAAAAAAAAAGCAATACAATGACCATGCCCGACAGGATATGCAGCATTCCACACCTATAGCTCACTATTCCTCCAAAAAAAAGGATGAATATTTCATTATCAGTCCTCCGTAGTCATTGCATTGATTTGAATTCTGAGGTCTTTTAAATGGTATTTATCTTTACATAATTGTGGTCATTGTGTGTATATCATGTTTTCTTGTGCTGCTTACCTCCTTGGCAACATTTCTTATGGGAAAAGCGTCATAGATCACAATTTGTTTAGCCATTCCCCAATGAATTGGCACCGACATTATTATACAGTTTTTTTTGTAGTCACAAAAGGTACCACTATGAATATTTTAACATAAATGGGACCTTTTTCTCTGTCCCTGGAGTATATGCCCAATAGGAGTTTCACTTCATCAACGAAAATAAACAATTCAGTCCCTTTTCTAGCAGTTTCAAATTGTTTTCCATCACAGCTGGAGGAATCTACAATTCTATCAGTAATATATTAGTGTGCCTATCTTCCCACAATATTTTCCCAATGCTGACCGGTTTTATCTTTGTCAATCAAATGGGTGTGAAGTAAAACCTTCTGCTTTAATTTGTCTTCCTCTTATTTTTAGTAATTGGAAACATTTTTATATATTTATTGATCATTTACATTTCTTTTTTTAAAGTTTTGGAAAATTTTTCATATTCTCTGATCACTTATCTATACAAGATTGGCTCTTGGTCCCATATATTTGCATCACATTCCTGTAAATCTTGGCTATCAAATCTCTATCAATCATATCTGCTACAAAAACTTTTTCCCCTCCATCAATGTCTTCTCTCTGTATCCCAATCACAAGGATTTTTTTGTGTGTGTGGTAAATGCTTTTTAATTTCACATATTCAGAATCAGCTATTTTGTTATTTTTCATTTCCTTTATCCCTTTATTACGTGTGAATTTTCCTCCAAACTATTGACCTGATAGTTATCCTTCCTTCCCCCTGTCCTTTTACATTAATAGAGTGCCAGTTTTCTAGAGCTCAGTCACCCCATGTCCTAATGAAGTAACAGCATGAACCTTTAGGAAAAAAAATTATCCTTCACATGATTAGTGCATGGTTTATGATTTTGTTTACTTTATGTATCTCAAAACAATACCAGTAACAGTCAACCTTGGGCAAAACTGTAGAGGCCAAGTTTATCTTCAGTGTCCTCTCAGAGGTGTTCCCAACCTACCAAGTACATGTGGTTTACCTTTCTGAGCAATACATTTAGGAATCACTTCCTGATACTCAACTAAACCACCTCTCCTTCATTTTAGTTCACTTATGCTTAGTGTCAAGGAAGGAGTACAAAGAACCTTCCTAACTCAACCAATAGTGTGGTTGTCTTTTGTAAATCTCACAGACAAAAATTCTGAACACTTAACCCCAATTGCCTAAAAAAATAAAAAATAAAATTTAAAAAAAATTTTTTTTAAATTCCTGAACAAGCTGCTAATTAGGCAGACACTACTAGTTTCAGACAACTTTCAGAATCAGAGACAATGGAATCTCCATTTCCTCCCTCTGAAGACTCAAATAAGAGAAATTACAAAGGAAGAATGTAAAAGAGCTCAGAATAGTCAGCTGTTTTAGAATAGTTTCCAGCACTGAACATAACTGCACTAAAAATACTGGTGTTGTGGCAACCACAACACAGTTGCTTAATTTAATTTCTTGAGAAGGGTTACTTTATTCATCACATTGACTCTTTTCACTGTAGGACTCTACAGGTCCTACTTACATACCCCAAACTCAGAATCAATCGTATTTTTAGACCTGTAAGGCATATGTACATGAGTGCTGTGCAATATACAGTTACAGATCGAGCAGCTAGGTGGCGCAGTGGATAGAGCACCAGCCCTGGAGTCAGGAGGACCCGAGTTCAAATCCAACCTCAGACACCTAACACTCACTAGCTATGTGACTCTGAGCAAGTCACTTAACCCCAATTGCCTCACTAAAAATAAATAAATAAATAAATGAAATATACAGCTAGAGATGAGCGTCCAGAAAGTATGAGGAAACTTGATCTCAAGAGCTGTAAGCCTGAGGAAGAAAATCCCTGTAGTACAAAGAAAACTTACGGACAGATTTCTGATCTCACTTTTTTTATTTTATTTTCTCAGTGACCAGAAGGGCTATAAGAAAGAGTATCACCAGTTTTGACCTGAGGGTAAAGAGGAAGGTAAACTGAAAACAACTTCTGTAAATGCCAGTCACAGAGTAGGTACTTAATAAATGTTTACTGACTGAAGGTCTCTCTCTGCCCAAAGCCTTATTCCTAACATGGTTGAATAATTTCATACTTCAAAAGGTAGAAGAGTTAATGAGATGGTTATTAAGATAATGTCTGATGTGAACTGAGGCAAAGTGAAGTGAGCAGAACCAGAAGAACATTGTACACAGCAACAGCAACAGTGTATGATGATCAACTATGAATGACTTAGCTATTCCCAGCAATACAATGA